TTGAAAGGCAAAAGACTGGCCTCTCGAATGACGCCAATAAGAATAGCTTATGTTGTCTACCTTGCGTGCTACGGGCGTCAGAAAAAAAGTATTCGGCGTTCCCCCAACTTCCCCTAGCTATGACGGGCACTATAACTTTTCCTAAGGTAAGGTCACTTGGACGTAACCTGATGACCTAACCTTGAGTGACCTAAGTCTGAAACTTACGCAGCATGTGTGAAAAAGATGTATGAAAAGGTGTGCCGAAAACGGCGGCGCTACACAACACCGTTTTCGAGATATTTACATAAATCCACATAGGGTGTCCAAGCATCCCCACCGCCCGGCGCGGATAATTTTTTTTTTTTGCACGTGCAGAGCGCACCTTTGGGGGCCACCAGGAGTTGGATATGCTCAATAACTATGCTGGAATACATTCTGGGTGGCCTGTGTAAATTTGGCACTTTGAGCTTGCCAGCGCTACCCGCCCTACCCGCATATGTGACACCTGGAGTGCAACATAAAAAGGTTTGCACGTGCACAGCACGTGCACCGTGTACCCCAGCACGCCTATTTGTACAGCCCCTTAAAGCGCGTGTCCAGTAGTGTCAGTGTGCCAAATTTGGTGTGCCTAGGTCAAGGTTTTCCGGAATCGGAGGATGCCTCCTCAAAACATGTTTTTCGCCACTAGCGCGTGCATTCCGCACCCCCTGATGCCGAGCATACCATATGTTAGTGGTCGAACACTGGGACATGTGACCTGTGAGTTTGGCACCTGTGCCGCCCTTCGTTTGATTTGAAGCGTCGCTTAAAGGTATTTGCCCTTTGTAAGTTTGTCGGCACGTGGCACGCGCCATGTGACACCGGGTGACATGTGACATCCATCATCACCTGCCTCAAGGAATTACCCGTCGAACGGTACCACCAGCATCTCGATCCGATCATCCGTTTAGACGCAATTCTAATTGTATTGGCTCGATGACCTTCCAGAGTACGGTTTTTTGGCAACGTAAAATGGCGCCTTGTCGGCTTCACTATCTTCCATAGGAGGTTCATTGGGATTGTCAGTCCAGTTTATTTATACGTCCGTGATCCTAAAGCTGTATGTCTGACAGTTCTTCCCGCGAAACCATTTTTTGGGGTCGAAAATGGCAGAAATGACGTCACTCCGACGTCATTAGCGGCCAACCTATCATAGCCTTTGGAAATATTTTTGGTCACAATATGCGAAACTACTCACTGGAGAATACTGAAAAATTGGTAACGATCGGCGCAGCGGTTCTGGAGATATATCGAAAAAACTAAAAGGGGGGGGGGGGGGGGAAATGCCCCCACCGCCTGTAAGGTTAAATATACCTATATTATTTTCCGGTAAAGTTCGACGGTTTTTGCTCTCTGGATAATTGGTACCTAAAGTGGCTTGAGGTCAAATTTGATTACGCATTGTGAAAAGGCTATAAAAGAGCTCTCGAGTAGTCTCCGCGACGTTCTAGGTCATTAGGCTTTACGAGTCAATGAACCAATTTGTCCGAGGACGTCTAAATCGCGACATATGTAGGTAGGCCTTGAATGTCCTTTGATTATCACCTTTCGTCTGCCCAAAAATCAAGCAAGGTGCTTTTTCATATTTTTACGTCCTTTCGGAACCTTACCGGGCCGGGCCAGCCCAATGGGCCATGGGCTGGACTGACCCATCACATATGAAGGATCGATGGGCTGTGGATGGGCTGGGCCAAGAACTATTAAAGGGACTATCCCACCTTCTAAAATGTTGTTAAAACCAGTTAAATTGTGCCCGACTTTATAGATTGCAGGCCCATGTCACTCCACTTCTGATGACATCATATGGGGGCCTCAGGACAATAATGGCGCGGCGCGCCACAATCGCTTCAAAGCTACTTGCCAACAGTTGCCATTTTTGAAAATATTATTTTGAAATAAAGCTCCAAGTAATAAAAATATTGTAATAAAGTTGTTGAATAAATCGATACCATATCTAAAAACTTACTGAAAAATGATTTATTCATAGTAAAAATATAAGGTCGATGCGTTTTTACGTTGCTTTCCTGCAACTGCAGAGGGTTTTTAAATCGTCTATATCTTCAAAACCGGCCATTTCTTAGCATATTGCTGCTCTTTTTATCGCTAGAAAATTTGTTGGACTTTCCAATGACATCAATGGTTGAGCAATGTGTGTAGAGTGTCACCAACAATCTTCAAATGAAGTTAGTCATTTTTACGTTGTAAAGGAATGGAGTACCCCTTTCGAGCATCAGGGGTGACGTCACTCAGGATCTGTCTCTGATTGGTCGGCCGGGGAGTGACTGTACCTTCTATAGATGGCCTTGATAGATTGGATGACCAGGAACACGGTTCTGGCACTTATTTTTCATTAAACATCTTAGGCTTCCCATATTCCAAACACAAACTTTCAAATATGTGACGTCACAGCCCAAAATTACCTCCTTCCCCAGGCCACATTACTGTCATAAAGCTGATTCTTTTTACTCTGTAGGCACCACAACAAAGTTCAGACCAAGTTTTAAGCGATTTTTCAACGAACAAACCCATTTAAATCAGAATGACTAAACGAGGTGACGTCACACTAACGGTCGCTCCATGTTGAAGATAGGGCCTTGTACAAGGCCCATTTTCAAATGAAGGGAACGAATTCCTTCAACACCAAGAGGCCGCGGGGGTTGCAACCAAGATAGATAGTGGTTTCTGAACCTCGCCGCAAACTTGGCTATCTCAACTCAAACCCCATGTTAAAGGTGGGATAGTCCGGTTCGCGACTGAGACAAAAAACATTACTAGCTTATTACTGTGCAAGACTAAAGAACCAAAACGAGTTTATAAAGCATACCTATACCTATGTGCAATGTGGTCAGTGCATTGTGCATGCTGCTCTCAAAAGATTGTTTCTTTGCTACCTTTGGAATTTGGGTGAGTATAATACCTATGTGGTGTCCATCATTTTTAATCCATTAATCTAGTTGACGGGCTGGGCCGGCGGCTGGGCTTTAACACTTTTGCGATGAATGGGTCAATGGGTTCGGGCTGGGCCGGGCCGTGAACCCATGGGCCTGGGCCGGGCTGGACTGGGATTTTGCGGCCCGTGGCGAACACTGGCTTGAAGCTACTCCCAGTAAGGGGTGGATACTGGGTTGTAAAAGCACCACGTTCTTTCACAGTGTTACGATCGGGTCACCGCCCCGGGACTAGTTCAGCTCAATTAAACATTTTTAGGTAGTACAATAGGTGTCCCGTATGAAAGTAAATAGGTATAGCGTTATGCTCATTGCTCATGCATCTTCTTTGGGAATCCTCCGTTCATTGCGGTATTTTGGTCTTTTCTAGATGTAGTCTTTTTGTTTCGGTATAAAATCCTTTCGGTAGGACCATGGGACGATGGGACTGGGAGGATGGAGACACAGTAGGGATTATCCGTGGGATGACAGATATTAGGACGACTATCCGTGGGACGACAGATTGGTGAGTCGGCTGGGACTGCGTTCCATGGGACAAATCATGCCCATTGCCCCAGGTGCGCTACACGCATAAGTCGCCTTGGAAGGCTGGGTCAGGTGTGCTTTCATTGGAACCACCCTCTGACCTCTCGTTGACCTGGGTGAGGCGACCAGCAGCCCGAAATAACACTGAAATAGGTGGAAATCTGAGACTGGAAAAGACAGGGGATAAACGGTGAACTATACCTATGTAGTTAGATAGCCGGGCTATACATAATACATATTGTCCCGGCCGGAGCGTTGCGAGCTGAGAGGGCAGACTCGCACCTGCTGAGTGCAGGTGACTCTGTTAGGGCTAAATTGAACTGAGATGGCGCTGCTGGCGCCGTCTCTACCTTGTCCCAGGCGAGGGCCAATGGCGACCCACCGAACATATGTTGATGGGCTGCTTGCCGTAAGCAGGTAGGTTAAAATAGGAGCTCTGCGTTACGATTCTCGCCACTCCGAACTTATGTGGTAGGACGGGACTTTGCCGGCTGGTGTAGGACCGTGTCCGCTGCTACCGAACCAGAATGTGTCCGCAGGGCGCAGCTCTATCCGGGACATTTGTCCCACCTCTGTCGGACATGACAGTGTCCACTGTCAGAGAAGACTGAGGGAATCTTGTCCGCTGAGGGATCTGGGTCAGTGTCCCTTCTGGCTTACGAGCCACCACAAAGTCGTGTAATTATTTGGGCCCGGGTCAGTGTCCCTTAATTGGTCCGACTTATGACCTGTGAACGGTGCGACCTGTGATCCAATTTGTGTTTGGTTGTGTGTCCTAGGAAGAGTGCTCTTGCTGCTCATGGTCCTACCCATCTCTCCGGACTTCTGAGTCCGGCTCCATCATGTTAACTCGTCATAGATATAGAAGGTGGAAACTTCCTAAATCCTAGTTCCTACAACGAGTAACGACACATTCCTAGACTTATTAATCATAATCTGCAAACATTAAAGGGACCCTCCCACCTTAACATTAGATTTGAGTTGAGATAGCCAAAATGGGGTCCCTGGCTCACAATTACCGGTTTCGGCACTCACAACATCGAGAAATGCCTTAAATCGGAAATATTGAATTTCAAAATTGCAGCATTTTGATTCAGAGGGGCTAATGCTTAGGAATACCCCTCTGAATGTGTGACGTCAGCGCAAATATCTAACGATTTTTAAATGTTTGACTAAAACGTTTTGTAGCACGCGATGGTATATGCTATTTGCGCGCAACATCTGCCGCAAACGCCGCACTTCTAAAATAAAATCGCTAGAAACAGCGGAGATCCCAAAAAAGTAAACAAAAGTAAAAGTCTAATATCTTGAAAACCGGTGAATATTTTTCGGTGAAATTTGGTAGATATTTGTTTTCGCTCTTTCTGAACCGAGCGACATCACTTTCATGCCAATTCATAAACTTTTTTGAAGGTGGGAGGGTCCCTTTAAACGATCTGATATGGCTTTAAACATCCCACCGGTAGTGAAGTAACCTTGCCTTCCCTCTCTGTCATTCCAGCTCCCTGGAACCGCGATCAGCAGAACTCTGCTCTTGCCGACCCTCCTCGCCCCGTCCGGCCTTGGCAAGGCCATTCGCCACCGAACTCGTACCAGAACGACGCATCCATGGGCGATCCATGGGGTACGTCCGTACCCGGAGCTCGGACTCATGGCAACACACCATGGGCCGGCCGCACAGCGTACCGTCTGACGCTACCGCCTGCCACCGTGTCAGCCGCTAGAGGCGAGATTGCCGTGCCGACGGGCGGTGTGATCGCCCTTACGGCCCACGGAGCGCTGCGGGAGGGTGGGTGACGTCTGCGCCGTGAGCCGCCGCCGCCGAACCCAGCCGGTCGCCAGTCGGTGTCTGTCTGTCGTCTGGCTTGGTACGGCGCGAGGTCAGGTGAGTCTGAGAGGCGGGGCGACGGTGGGGGCTGTCCTCGTGCTATGAATTACCCAGGACGGTTTGGCCTTTCGAGGTGTCGTATTTTGTGAGCTGTGACTGGAGGTGTCGATTGGGACCTGATACTGTGATCAGGTTGTAAAGTTTGTGTCGGTAATGAGGGTAAGACGGCTGACCGCATTGTGCGTGTCAGCTGAACTAACGGAACCGTGGACTCGATTGCGTTCGGATGGCCACCAGACTGGGTCACGGGCGGGACACTTCTTCCCGCTTTAGAAAGTCGGGACAGGACTCTGTGCGTGGGACAGCTTGTCTTTCAGCATTCACCCATATGTCATAGCCATTCCTTCTCCGTTTCGCTTTGCATGTTCGTGCATCCGTACATCCGGCTTTCCTAATTGCGGCGATAATTTTATGAGCAGTATGGCGGGCTGTGCTTTTCATGACTAGCGTCGAGCTCTTACCGGGCGACTTTCCTGAAAAGATCGCCTTGAAGTCGACCGTATGTGCTCAGGTCGAGTCGTTCGTGTTTGTCGGCCATGAAACATCATTAGCTTTCGGCTAAATGCAAAGCACTTTATCAGTTTCCCGTCCCGTTTTCCCAACTCGATTGCGAGCAACCTTGTCGAGCGCCGGGTCCCAGGCGACCGTATTGGTATAACAGCACGGTAGCTGCTCGGCAGTCATCCGTGGCGCTCCGGCTTGTTTGTTTATTCGCACTGGCCAGCGGCTTGTTTGTTGATTCACGATGTCCTCACGCCTTCACTGCGGGTACGCTCCACTGGGCGCTGTCGAGGCTTCGTTACCCGCCACAGTTGCCGCCGAGAATGAGATTGGGGTTGGCACGGCACGACGTCATCCTGTCTGCTGCCCTGAGGCATTGTCTGTCCTGTCTGACATGCTCAGACACTGTCTGGTTTGTTGGCTGATGTCTGTTGTCCTCAGGCATTGTCAATATTGTCCGCTGTCTTCTGGCTCTGCAGAACAAACAGGCACATGACTTGTCCAGAACCCTTGTGGGACTTGGTACATATGCTTAGAGGCTAGGGCTATACCAGTCTATTATACCGTCAACAGCTGGCTGTTCGCCAAGTCTGTAATGTCAGCGAGACGGTTCTGTCATCCCGGTCTTTCCGTCGATGATCTGTGGGGTTGAAGCGACACACGGAACACCTGTCGTCTGTCGGCTGCGACGAATGAGTCGACGGAACCTCAGAACGGACACAATCAAAGGAAGGCCACAGCGCTAACGGCAACTGGCTGTCGAAGTAACTCCTACCTTCCTCTGGCCACCAAAGTCAAGGGCAGCTAAACGGTTCTTTTAAACCGTATTCATGCAAGCCGTGAAAGACGTGGTCCAAGCCGTATTCCTAGCTGAAAGGCTTAGACTTAGTCCGCTCATGAGCATAATCCTAACCAGATTATGCCGTCTCCTGAATGTATTGTTTGGCTCTGCAGTCGCCTTCGGCCGTCGTGACCGCAAATATTTAGGTATGCTGCATTCGTGAATCGTAGCAGCGGCTCGAAGTTAACACCTCAGATAATCCTTCCTTTGGGCCTCATAGTTTTTAAATAGGAATAATCCCGTTTATCCTGTGTTGTTTCCTAAGGAGTTTTATGGCTTCGTGAATGAACGCTCGTGCACTAGCCGTTTTGAGTTATTTTAGAATGTCCTACTAACCTGCCACTTGTCGGTCGTGGTACAGCTCGTTCCCAGGTTCTAAGCTCAAGACCCCTCCCTGCTATTTTACAGTTTTGCTCTGATCACATTTCACATGTCTTGTGTGCTGCCTCTCCGATTACCCCATGCTATTCGTCATCATCCATTGTTACCATCCTGTGTGTCAAGCGTTTGTCTATTCGAGGCCGCATTCCCCTTCCATCCCTCGCCCTACCTGCCCTGCATTCTCAGAGCTCGTTACCTTTCGTCTGACCCCACCTTCCTCTAACCCCTCCAGACACAGGGGTCCGCGAGTCCATCCGAATCAATGACTCACGTCGCTCGGAACTCAGACCCACCCGAGTCAGTCACACGCTCAGAGCGGCAGTCCGGCTGCCGAGGCAGGCCGGTCAACCTGTGACGAAACCCGTCCGCGTCCGCCGGTGACCTTCAGAACCTGCACGTGCAGCGGCACTGGCGCGGCGGCACCGCCCGGAAGTCGGCGGCTCCTCGTGGCAATGAACTTGGCCGGCGCCGGCCGCGGTGACCCCTCCCGCGGCGGCTGGAGTGGATCCTCCGAGGCGGGCGGTGGGAAGATGACTGGTGGTGTCTGATCAGCGGTGTTCGGATCGGTAGAGGCGCAGAACCGGTCCCGTTTCGCACGGCTCCGGTGCGGTCTCACGGTTGAGGTCATTGGAAGGCCCGCAGGCCGTATGGACTGAGGAGCCTGGTATGGCTGGTCCCTGACATTTGACCAGGAACGATTGAAATGTGAATTCTCCAGAGTGTAATCAACTGCCGGAATGGAGTGCCTTTATATGTGACGGTGTTGAAAAAGGCTGGATAGTGGTCACTGTTGTGACATTTGTGAAGTCTACTGCGCAGATCTTTCCAGTTCTTAGCATAATAGCGGTCAAATTCTCGGCCTCATTCGGTTGTATTCACTGGAGGGCCCGAGACAACCCAAGCCATTTGTTTTTCCCAATTAATGGACCATTTTGATGAACTTGTTTCGTCACAAGTTGACGAAACTGACTTAATCTTCCCCAAATCCCATATCTTCCCCACATCCCGTGGACACCGGACATCCACCCTTGACCAGTTAAATCGCCGCGGTGACCTTGCCACTGCCCTCATCTCCCACGGGCGCAGCCGTTCTGCCCCAGGGCACGCCGGAGACGCTCGCATTCCTCGGCTTTTAGCGCGGCGCCAGCTCTGATTGGCCGCGTCTGGCCGGTACCTGTTCAGTGGTTAGCAGAGTCTGAACACTCCGGTAGGTGACCGGACAGGTTCACGGTCGGTCACGGACGGGTCCCCTCCCCTCCCCTCCCCTCCCCTCCCCTCCCCCTCAGATGGACGACCTGGCATGGTCTTTGTTCCATAGAGATGCCTCGGGTGTGTCGTTTATGGGTAGGTGCCGTGAATGGCAGGTGTGTTGGTGATCGGGAGGGGAAAAACAACTGGGGGCTGGGGAAGATTTCACGACTTGATGAACGTTTGAAGGGGGAGGGAGACAATGGAGGTGAAAAAGGGAATCAACCTGGATGAAGAAGTCAAGTAGCCAAAAGGAGTAGTAAAGGAATCTTGGCCAAAAGTATCCTACGAACTTCTCGCCGCTTCCATATTTGATGCTCTGACATGTTCCCTTTTATCGTCAAGCTAGTTTAAAAGACTACCATAAGGTTAAAAAAGAAAACATTGTTACTATGTTGCCAGACTGACTGAACTGTGAACGGGTTTGTCACATTAAAAAATCAGCTCCGTGCACGAATACAGGACGTGCTAGGGACGATACATCCTCACTGTACCTGATTGTCGTGCTGCTTTGGTTGGAAGACCAACAATCAATATGTTGTGTTGCATTGCATGAATGCTAATTTCAGCATTTGCATATCACGTTGAAACGGCAGTGTGACCCAGACTGAGTTCGAAGGAGTTCCGCTTGCTGTTGAGGGTGCAATATGAGCAAAATAGGCTTATTTTGTGAAAAAATGCGCTTTTACTTCTTATACATAGAAAAGTTAACTTATACGTCGGAAAGTGTGATACCAAATAACTTATAACTTTAGCTCTAGGAAAGCTCAGGCTTTCGATGAAGCGTCAGCGTCTCTTTTTCATACAACCCATGCCTTTATTCGTATATGTTTGTGAATTTTATTATGCACCCCAACTAACCCAATTTCCGTTCGTCATCACCAGGTCAGCAGTTCACATCATCACCACAGCAGCGATGTCGGACAAGAAGTGCGTGTTTGTGACCGGCGGAGCAGGCTACATCGGCTCCCACTGCTGCGTCGAGCTGCTCAACGCCGGATATGATGTCATCGCCATCGACAACTTCGCCAACTCCAGGTGGGTTAGTATATGTTCACGGGCTAATGCTGCATAATCTTTCGCCAACCCCAGGTGGGCTAGAACACGATCACTGATTATAACTCTGGATAATTTTTACTATCTCGAGGTGGAGTGGGTTTGAACACGATCACTGGATAGGTCACTGGATAGGGCTTGCAACTTTTAAGCAAACGATATTTGAATTGAATTTATGTCTGAATGTATTGCATCGCTATTTTTCGACTCGTGTCATGGAAACATAAGCCACCCTGTTGCCCGTTTCCATCGCCCGTTCTTCAAGGAATCCTCATCGGTCCGGGAGGGTCGCGCTATCGCGTGGATTCTACCATGACGTCATCCCGGCTGTCTCCGCGAACACCTGCCGATGAAGTCAGTCTCCAGGTGGTGGCGGTGACGTCACCGGGACTGTAACCACCTGTCTGACCCCAACCCCCCCCCCCCCTCCCCCCAGGCACACCGACTCGGGAGAGGCGCCCTCCCTCAAGCGCGTGGAGGAGATCACGGGCAAGAAGCTGACCTTCTACCAGTGCGACCTCCTCGACATCAACCGGGTCGACGAGATCTTCAGCAAGGTATGTGAACGTGCCGCGTCTTCATCAACCTGTGGTCAGGTTAAAGCCTGCCGTTAGTTATACCTAGTAATGGTGCAGGTCAGGCGCCAGCTCAGCATCCATTGCGACAGATATAGGTCAAGATCACGAGCTTGCATGCTTATTTGGCACAGCCAAAAGGTAACCATGACACTGAAGCTGGTGTGTTGTGTAGAAAGTATTCCCATCTTACGATGCCATGCGTTAGTTGTTCGAAGACTCATGCTTAGGGCCATGAAGAATGAACATCTTTTTACTTGAGGCGGCATTTTGTGAATGACGCCTTGTTTATTGCGGCCTGTAAACGATGATGATATAATCTGACCCCAGTGTGACTCGCTAAGGTCGCCCCGATTGTAAAACACTCGCGCTCCCCGTGACCCTGGGCTCATGGTACGATCGTAGCTCGCCCTTTGTTCCCCTGGTTTTTGCGTGCGTAGTTTTGGCGTCATGCCGGCCCGGCGCCTGCACTGGTCGGGTTACTGTGCTGGGTTGGGGTGTTGTGTTTCATTTGCACCTCAGGCTCCACATAGCTTTGTTTAGAGCGCAGCAGACCGACCGGCGGGCCCCTCGCCCGACCTAGCAGAGGGGCTGCGGCTCTGGTGTTCCCTGTCGGACGGGCCAGTCCGCTGCCCCAGTTACTATCCCGAGCGGAGGGGAGTGGCAGGTGATGAAGCCACCATCGCCTGACCCAGACCGGGCCGGGCCTGACCGAGACGCTGACGAAATGCCCCGGGGCGGGGCGGGGTGGTTCGCGAGGAGTGTGATAGCGATTTCGACACGCGGCGCAGGTCGTAAAGATACCCGGGGCAGGTGTCAGGAGTCTGCCGGTCCCGTGTGGCGGAACAGTTGGAGCTCCCATCGACTGCTGGGCTGCTGATAGAATCTTGGTCAGGGTTCGATTGGGGTCTGTCACGTGACGACCGGGGGTTGTTGAATGAGGCGTTGGTGATTCGCGCATTCCCGTATCCCGTATTTGATTTCGCTGTTTGAACCGTCAATAGGTTACCTGCCGCCAAACTGTAATCGGTTGGTATCATATGTATGTGCTGCATTTTATCTATTGCAGCTGAAGTGCTCTGACTTGTTACGACGACATTGTATTTATATCAAGACCCTCCCGCTTACTAGAGATGTCAATTGGATACCAACTTTTTGGTATACCGATACCAAACCGATACCAACTTGGTATTTGGTATTTCGAGGCTAACACATTTGGTATTTTGTTGGTATAGTGAATCCTCGCTAAAGCAAAAGAGGCTGTGAATTTGGTAAAAAGTTGGTATTTCCCTGATATTCCAAGGTCGGTTCGTTTTCGGTATTTTCCCACAGTTCCTCTTGATATTTGGTTTGGTATCGGTATCACGATTTTCCGTAATTGACATCACTACCGCTTACCCACGCATCTTGCGCCCTAAACCTGATCCTCATTCTGCGAGTCCGGAACGAAATCACCTCTGGGCCCGAGTGGCAATTGCCTCGAAACGTGCCTCGAAACCGGTTTCCGTATTCTGTAGGCGTCGAGACGACACGGTTTTGCGTCCTTCTGACATAACTGTGTCAGGGGACGCGTCTGGCCGTCTGGCGGCCCGGCCCGGCGTGGACCGGTCCGGTCCACCCTGAACCGTCCGCCAGGCACACGCCGGCCCATTGAACGTGTACCGTTCGTGACCTCAGTGAGCCGCGCCGCGTCATGGGCCGCGCCGAGACCGGTCAGGTGTTGGTAGTGGGACACTGGGCTGGGAACTGGACGGATGGCTGGAAGCGTTCAAACGCTGATGAGATGCTGGGAGCCGAACACCGGGGCTGCCGAAAGTAAGGTGTTAGAGCTGAACACTGGGCCAGGCACCGTTCAAGTATCGAGTTCAGGTACCAATTAGATGCTTGTTAGGGGATTCTGGGTCGGTTGGCATGAGGACGCTAGGTGGCCGTTTACGGTCTCCCGAATGCGTCTCAGCGCAGCCACACCTTGTTTGTGGAATAAGAACACCTGTATGCGCACAATGCACAATTTACATACATGCGCCCTGTAGTAAAGCTGCCAATGCGATAGTTTTCAAGGTCAGCCATGGGGCGATTTGGGTACCAGATGCCCTTGAAAAGTTTAGCCTCTTACGGTGTTTAGAATGTTTGACGGTGAGATATTTGGTAAGCTGAGAGTGAGACATCGTGGTAACTGGTGCCCGCGGCGAGATCAGTCAGTTCATATTCAGTGGGGTGAATAACACCTCTGAATGTTTCGGAGCTCATATTTCATTCATGAGGTAATGGCCAAACCGGCTTCTTTGCGATAACTCGACCGTTGCTGAGTAAACTTCAGGGCCTCTGAGCATGATCGATCTCCATGTTAGGAGGTGAGAAATATCAGCGCTAACCAGCAGAAATGCTGGTAGCACGGGAAGCACGGCTAGGTAGCACTACCAGCCTTCGATCACTCGGCGATCACGTGATAGTCACCTGATCGGCTCGCCCCCCGCTCGTCCCTCACCAGTCACCACTGCTGAGGGCTGAGCAGGTACGGGATTCCCGTCCCTCCGGCGCCCGGTGGGCCGCCAGGCCGGTCAGTGCCACCGCTGTACCTTATTCAGGACCGCGGTGGCCGGTGTTTTTCTGCGGTAGTACCCCCGGGCGGGCTGTAATGATTGCCCTCCGCCGCCAGTGCAGTCGGTACCGGCACGGATGACCGTAACCGGGAGCAGGGTGAGAGCTCAGTGACCTGACTTTGTTCTCCAGGTGCGCAATGCCATCTCGCTGCTTCTATGCAATTTTACATAACTGGATAACCTGTCGACCAATGACCCCTTGTACCTCAACAGCATTCTCGGATATCTCAGAATGCGACGACTGCCTCTTCCTTCTGACAAACGTCGTTCGGTCGATTGCCTCACAGACGCCTTATGCCGCCTTATGTCGACATTTGGCCGAATTCCGATAGTCTATTAGTGAGGCTCGCTCGGCCCCCCGGGGACAATTAAAACATCGGCTGTTGAACTAACAATTGTGGGCGAGTTTACGCAACGACCGAAAGCCGACTGTGGGACCGTTTTCTGCGTACTTGTGCTAAAAATTAGGATAATTGCCAGAGTAAAAAGCAACAGCACGCAAAACAAGCTAGCTGTAATAGGTGTTCGGTTCGCAGCTGGACCTTGAGTTTAGGATAGCCGTACGAACCTCAAGGTGCCATTCATTGTTGCGCGTCCACGTTGTGCGGTCCGCAAACAAAATGTCGTGCGATTGGCACTGATCGGACGCGTTAAGCCGTCGGATTAGCGCCCCGGTGACATGCTGTCATGCCTTATCAGGGAAACATGGGCAGACTGTCCAATGTTCGTGCGGTCTCCACGTGTAGACTGCAGTCTCGGCTTGGTAGGATCTCATTCAAGGCTCGGCTTCTGCTCCCCTCGTACATACGAATCAATGCTGACTAGTGTTATTTAATCGCAATACATTCCTCTGGGGCTCATTTTATCCGTCAGACACAGGAATTCAACATCACTCGCCTCACTCGTGTAGAGGTGTGTGGGTACCGTAGCCTTGACCGACGCCCATTTGGTGACACCCACCGATCGGGGGGGGGGGGAGGGGGGGCTGTCACCACACAACACGTGTGTTAACTCTGTTCTGGTGTCGAAATACCAGCGGCGGTCACACAGTGCCAATGTCAAACTCGGCATATAGACACGGTGACAGCGATTCACTCTGCATGTGTAACTTATCTCGCCCGTCCCCGTGTTCACGATACGAAATGCCTACTTACCAATAGTCGACGAATTTTCACGGGGCACTTTAGTGTTACGTTCGTTGTCGCGCTGCTAGCTGGCTCCGTGTATGCTGAACCCCTACCCCTCCCTTCCCGTCTCCACAGCATCACATCGACTACGTGATCCACTTCGCGGCCATCAAGGCCGTCGGCGAGTCTATGCAGTTCCCGCTCAAGTACTACAAGAACAACGTCATCGGCACCATCAACCTGGTCGAAGTAAGTTATCAATGACGGAAGCAAGGCATTCTGGACTCAGCCAAACACTTCCAACACTTCAGTCAAACTTAAGCTTCGTAGATCTACTAAAATCGCTCGATTTGAAATGACTCAAATTCTCTTTCTGCGACCTTTTCACCGTTCCCTGTCGTAGCTTATGTTCGAGTTCCCATGTGGCCCAGTCCGGAACCCTGAGGCCTGTTGTTCCCATACGACCTCGGCCAAACACCTGTGCCGTTCTCGCGGTATGTCGCGGCGCGATGGTCCAAAAATGAGAATCATTCACAGCTGGGACCGCTCTTTTGTCGTTTACTTACCGCTTTCGATGTAATTCGTGCCTACATATCTGGTGTGACTTAAGGCGCTTCCGTATTGATTCTTACCGATAGATGTCAACCATTGACGAAGCACATCCGCCGAGTGTATCTGGATAACATTGCTTATTCCTGTTATTGAAAGTGACGTTAATTTTCACGATTCTACTCCAATGCGCACCAGCATGAAATGTCTGGAAGCAAAATGTTCTTTTAAGGTTCTGGGTATCTCATCACTTCCTTTAAACCCTCTGCGCTGCCCCTCACTCCAGCCGTTCTAACCCCCTTCTCCTCCACAGGTGATGAAGGAGCACAACGTGTACCAGATGGTGTTCTCCTCGTCGTGTTGTGTGTACGGAGACCCGGAGCACCTCCCCATTACCGAGGATCACCCGACCGGCAACGTGACCAACGTGTACGGCCGCACCAAGTACCTCATCGAGGAGATGCTCAAGGACCTCACACACGCCGAGCCGGTGAGGGGACGGGAGGGATGCTGGGGACGGGGGATGGAGAGAGGTACCGGAGGAAAGGAGGGGAGTGATGCGTGTTTGAAAATGACTGGTTGACTACAAAAGGACGCGCAACGAGAGGTGTTTGGGAGTGCTACTAAATGTAAGAAGAACATGGCTGACAAGGGACAATAGGGGACACTAAGGGTGGGGACCACTACTCACTAGAAGGGTATGCTGATTTACTGAGACACTGACGCAAAAGTCTGGTCTGGCTCCCCTGGTTGTTAGTGCCATGGTTGTGGATGTGGTAGGGAAGTTCTACGAGTCATTTGGTGGTTGTTTGGACATCCGTCGTGACTTGATGCGCCGCAGCTTTGTACCGGAAGTGTGAGCTTCCTGCCCATTTCAGCGATTACCAGCTCTGGCCGGTCCAATCTGTATAGCCGGTCCGGGCGGGACAGACTTCCGCTGCAGCTGTTGGGTCCGTGTCACGGTCTCACAGTCTCTGAGATTGTGGTGGCCTTGTATCTCAGTTCCGCTTATTTACATCTGACGCGCATGAGTCTAGTGTGTCATATTTTGCTATAGTTTCGTGAAATATGTGACTGACTGCGTACTGCGTAATGCGTCTCATGAGTTTTTGAGGTCCCCCAACACTGATTTCGAGGTCACCCGACTCACCCCACACTCTTTGTTTGAAACTGCATTGGGACTTTTTTCATCGCGATTCCAAAATGATTTCGTGAGTGCAGACTGCACGCCATGTGTAACACGATTTCCAACTACCGGCACAAGCCAGTGGCCGTTAGCCTATCGTGAAGAATCTTGCGTTACCCCTCCCCTGCTCATCTAACACCCACCCCTTGTGTTTCCCTCGCAGAGGTGGAACATTATCTCTCTGCGGTACTTCAACCCGGTGGGCGCCCACCCGTCCGGCCGGATCGGCGAGGACCCCACCAAGAACTTCAGCAACCTGATGCCGTACATTGCCCAGGTGGCGCTCGGAAACAAGCCGCACGTGGAGGTGTTTGGCGGGGACTACAACACGCCGGACGGCACAGGTGCGAGGGAATAACTCGAAACGCTCCGTTTGAAGACAACGATAACAATTCAGTCATCACGGTATTGCTGCAAACAGACCTATCACTAGGGGATAACCGATAACTCGACCTATCTCGACGGAGTAGTTTCAACGCCAAATTTGTTTGCCTTATTGGCCAAGAGATGCTTCTCTTTTGGACGAGTCTTCTCTCGCTCAGGCGTCCGAGACTGCGAGTCTTCTCTCGCTCAGGTGTCCGAGGCTGCGCGTGTCCTCTCATTTGGACCGGCCTCCTCTCACAGCCCTCACCTCCGCGCTCTATCACCTCAGGTGTCCGAGACTACATCCACATCATGGACCTGGCGTCGGGTCACGTGGCCGCGCTTAGCCGTCTCAGCCAGGAGCACTTCCGGTACAAGGTGAGGCGACAGGACGCGACAGTCGCGTGACTAGGTGACCTGAGACAGTGACGTTAGGCTGTGACGTAACATTAGATGTCACTCGTGGCCTGTGACTTGTGACCTGACCAGTGACCTGTGAGTGACAGTGACTTCGTGTGGCCGTGACCAATAACTGTGACGGTGGTGACCCGTGACCAAACTGTGGCGGTGTGTCGACTCTGTGACGTTTGCATGATGGTAGGTGACGGACGGTATGCCTGGAGATGGAATGAACTTGCCTGACTTCAGACATGACGTCTTAGTTTATTTTATTCCCTCCTCGCTTTTACTGACTGACTCTTTTAGTTACGTCTTTCCCTTGCTTCATTTTTCGATCTGTCTTTTTTTTCTACTGGTGACTGAGACTTTGCGTACGACTTATTTTCTCTGACTTCTTGTGTTGGTTGACTTATTTCGTCTCGACTTTTTTCGTGACTAGACTGACACATTGAGTGCCTTTTTGAGTTCTTTGTCTCGTTTTGTAGTGATGCATTCAAAACGGATTGATTGGATTTGCTTATTTTAATTTAATGCATCATGAAAAAACATAAGTATTGATTTGCGTGAGTAAATTTGATCCTTTTTTAACGGTAATGGTATATAGCGTTTATAAACGTTGTTTTGAACATGCCTTGGTGTGATGAGTCACCTACCGTCATATTCCATTTTCCTACAACAAAACATCTTCCCTCGCTTTTACGAGCATTCTGGCAACTTTCCTGTTCTATCTGAATGGCTGTCGATGCTTCTCTTTCTCCGCTGCTCCGGTGAAGGTAGTTGTTGTCCTTAGTTGTACTGTTATAGTGTCTGATGACCCAAACAACTCCAAAGACAGGCGCTCGGGGGTTCTGGCACTAACCGTTTACCGGTGTTGGTTTTAGTTCTCATGTACAGCGATAGTTTCGCTGCTGTCTTTGTATCACAATGTGGGTGATGGTGTGAGGTTTTAGTTGAGCTCTGTAAAGGCCCTGAGGTCGGGTTTTTGGTGGTTGCTGCATGTCATATGTATCATAATTCGTGAACCGTTGTTCAGTTGTTCAAATGGGGACAGAACTTAATCTGTTTTATGTTTATTTAATATGTGTCGGATACTTTTAAAAGAATATTCGTTATGTAACTAATTCAATTTTATCAAAGTCTTCTCGGAGGATTATCAATTAGCTGATCTGCTTCGTAGTTTATCGATTGAATGTTAGCAGAACTTCGAATGGTTATATCGGACTGTCATATGTAAATCAACGCTCAAACTGAATTGCTGGTTAGAATAATTCGGCTAGCTCGCCATATAAGCCAACTTTGTACGATACGGGTGGTGATGTGTCCGCCTTGTCCCGCTGCGGTTCGCTGCCCGGCGGCCGAGGTCCTTTCCCCGGCCCTGGTTGCCGGCGCCGCCGCCTGAGCCGCGTTGGCACCCGCCTGACGCCTCTGTCGGCAGCCGCTTAACCTGGGCCTGGGCAGAGGGCTCAGCGTCCTAGAGCTGCTCGCGCACTGGGAGCGGGTGACGGGCACGCGCGTGCCCCACCGGATGGCGCCGCGGCGCTATGGTGACGTGCCGACGCTCGTGTGTGACGGCTCCCGCGGCCAGCGCGAGCTCAGCTGGACGCCCCGCTACGACATCGACGACATGTGTGAGTAGGGGGAGGTCAGAGCGGGCAGGGCCGCCTCCGCCGCCTGTGGGTGTCGACCGTCTGGTGGTAGATGCATGACGCTCTCGGGTTCTGGCTTTCCCTTGCTCCGCATCTGGATTTGGTTCTGGCTTCTGGCTACTTCCAACCTCGCTTGGGCTCTTCGTCGTCTAACCGAATTATTTCTGCAGCCTTGCTCTACCAATCCTCCCCTCCAAACCACCTCACCAGGCCGTCACCTTTTCACTTCACCGCCTCCTCACCTGCTGCTACCTTCCACCCCTCACACCCGCACCTCACGCCTGCTTCCGCCCCCTGGTCCCTTTCCTCTCCCTCCACTCCTTCGTAACGCTCCACACCATGTTACAGACGTACAACCTTGGCACGGGCGAGGGTGTTTCCGTCAAACAGCTGGCGGCCATGTTTGAGCGCGTCACCGGCCGGCCGGTGCCGTGTGCCATCCGACCGCGCCGCGCCGGAGACATTGTCAGTATGTTTGCCAACGCCACTCTGGCCAGAGAGGAGCTCGGCTGGACGGCCAAACGCACTCTGGAGGATATGTGTGAGTAGTGGTGGGGTGGGGCAGGGAGGTGAAAGTTGGAGACGAAAAGACGAATGTTTGGTTTTGTTGCGAAGAGTATCTGGTGGGAAGAACGGGAGAAGGGCGGCATGTAACATCTTACAGCTTTGTGAAGCCAGAAGCTAGCTTACGGAAAGCTGTTGGTGAGTTTTAAGATGTGTGGGCTTCGGTGGCGGGATCAAGGTTTAGGGCAGAGATTGGAAGCCGGATAGGATCACTGAGGCGACTAGTTAGTGGCGCTGAATAGCGGTCTTCGATTATGTCGATGTTTATGACCACTCCAATGGGACGGATGCAGCGGACAATAAATGCAGCAGCTGCCGAGTGCTGACTTAGGTCGACCAATGTGAGACATGAGTGAACCAGTGTCCAGCTCCAGATGCCAGCCCTCAACTCTCTAAATAATTGGCCCAAGTTCATTGATGGCAGGAAATGTCTGTCAGTGACACTAGGATAAGGGTTTCCGTATCTGTACACCAGATATATCCACACCTTCAGTCAGATTGTTGCGGGATGACTCACGAGCAGCCTAGGATGACTATTCACTATTCAGGGCATGTGTAGCGTCACGAATCGTCAGTGTCGTGCCTTCTTGTGGTTGATGCGTCGCGTTTGTGGGTCCTTGGGTTATCATGCGCACATGGACTTATAATATGGCAAGATAGCTCATGCATTATCTTTCTGTGTGCGGCATCGTGCGAAACAATTATTACGGAGCGAGCGAAGCGAGCGTAGTCTTTCCTTATGCGTGGTTCACACCGGATCCGTAATGACGCCGTAACCGTTACGGACGTAATGAGCTAGAGATTTCTCAAGATTCCCCAAGCATTGTGACTTTTGTAGACGAAGTTGAAATGTGGCAACCAGTCGCCGTAAACTGGCAGCGTCCACCGTACTCGTTACGGAACGTAACAGAAGTTGGGAAAATTGAACTTTTCGGCTCGACCGGCCGCCGTAATGACTTTTATCGACATGTATCTCCAAAACGGTTTGACTGTTTGATGAGCGGTCTTCTTTGGGGAGGGGCTGCATCCTTTCTACCCTGAACTGTGCTATTGATATCACTCATTAGTGCCTGTTACAGCACGTGTCACGTGCGACGAGAGAGGTTCCAAAAGAGCTCGTCATACCATAACTCGGGAACGGCTGAATGGAAACGGTTCAATATTTGTTTGTTGTTTTGGCTGGGTGCACACTACACATCCCGTGACCTTAGGACGATTTCGAATTGCCTCAGCGCGTGCGCACGTGCGCACCCCTTTTTAACATCTCGGGATTGGCTGTGCCAATCGCGCCCATATTTGGTATGCTGAATGACATCATGTTTATATGCAAATTGCACAGGTTGACAAAAGCATTGATCTGCACGTGCGCACGTGCGTGCCCCTTTTTCATATCTGGGGATCGGCTGGGCCGATCGCGTTCATATTTGGTGTGCTGAATGACACCATGTACATATGAAGATTGAACAGATCGACAAAGGCATTGGTCTGCACGTGCGCGCGTGCGTACCCCTTTTTGGCATCTTGGGATCGGCTGGGCCGATAGCGCTCATATTAAGTATGCTGAATGACACCAAGTTTATTTGCAGATTGCACAGGTCAGCAAAAGCATTGATCTGCACGTGCGCACGTGCGCACCCCTTTTTCATATCTGGGGATCGGCTGGGCCGAAAGTGCTTATATCAAGTATGCTGAATGATAACATGCTTATTGCTTATATGTAGAATTCACAAGTCGGCAAAGGTATTGATCGGCACGTGCGCACGTGCGCACCCCTTTTTCATATCTCGGGATCGGCTGGGCCGATAGCGCTCACATTGGGACTTTGGTATGCTGAATGACACCACGCATATAAAGTATGCAGATTGCAAAGGTCAGCGAGAGTATTGGTCGGCACATGCGCACGTGCCCACCCCTTCTCACATGTTGCGATTGATTGGGCTGGTCTGGGTAGCGGGTAGCGGTCTGCTCGTGTGCAAGTGCGCAGGGGTGGAGCTTCCTATTCACTTGGTGGGGCGCCTGCCCCACCAACTTGCCATTTTGCCCCACCAATAAGCGTTTTGCCCCACCAACTTAAGCCGATTTGCAGGACTTTACTGCTTAGCATACCTATGTTTTTCGCATTGAGGAGCTTTGAAATGTCTGTGTAATGCAAAATATTATCTCTGTAATGAAAAGAATTGATTCATTGTTGAATTTTATCTAACTTAACAATCGGACATTGTAGGTTTGACAACTTTTTGCCCCACCAACTTTCCTGGAAAAGCTCCACCCATGCAAGTGCGGACCTTCCTACTTGAAAAAAAATCGTATCAACTCGCCGACTGATTTTTAGGCATTATTTCATGTAGGTATGCCTTCAGTATGTCACAACCTACTTTGTATCTCTTGAGTGACGTACATGAAATTCATGTTCCGTAATTACATTTCACTCGTTTATTTAAAGATAAAATTTCCTTCGTAGGCCTAGCCTAGCCCTAATCATGTGGGTATGTTACAGGTCAAGTTCAAAGTCCACAAAATAAATTCCAATAGGTACATAGATTCTCGTGCCACGTCTTTTATGCAGTTCTGAGTCAACTTCGCTGCCCATATTGCCCCTGCTAGACTTGATGCTTGGACGGACACTGCACCGCCTCTTCGCAAGCCAATTGAGCAAACTGTACGATGCGTACGTTGATCTTGCCCATGGATAGCAGTGATTCACGAGTGTAGAAAATGAACTTCAGCGTTGACCAGCATGGGCATATTTTCTTGTTTATGCCAAAAAAGGATAAAAGATTCTCTATAGTATCATGCCCACAATTGTAGTTAATTAACAATGATATGCCTCCATACAATTATAAACCACTATGCAAAAGTGATAGGAATAAATTTAAAAAGAAGAGAGCAAAACCAATAAAAATTATGACGCACCGATATTAAGAAACAGCTCTTAGCTTTAGCCCATTTTTCGATTGTTTATAAGCAAAACAGTTTTGGCGCACTTGATTCGAAGGACGGCGCTCAACATGGCAATTCCCGGTGCACACCGAATCCGTAACGAATACGGCGTTACGTCGCCAAAAAATTGAACTACGCATGCGCGTTGCATTGTGCCCTCCACTTTCAAGATATTATTTAATCGCCGACGTATTCATTACGGCACGTAACGGTCATTACGGATCCGGTGTGAACCACGCATTAGATTAACGGAAATTTCTGAGTATGAGCGGCCGGCCGGCCGGCCGTGGTCACGCTTTTGCGAGGCTTATATCTCAGCAACCACTTGACCGATTTACACGCGGTAATTTTTGTAGGGTAGCTTCATTCCTTCTACCAAGTATTGGACTATTCCCGATGCATGTGGGTGACCCCTTATGCACGTGCCACGTGCAAAACGAAGAGGTGTCATTTTTGTAATTGTTGCAATATCTCGGTAACTACTTGGCCGATTGCGCTGAAAGTTGGCATGTAGGTAGGCACCCACTAGGCACTGCATATACATGTGCCAGAGTTGGGGTGCTGCTGCACGTGCGCACGTGCAGGGGTCGTTTCCAGATCTCGAGAACGGCTGGACCGATTGCGCTCAAATTTGGTACACGGTTAGGGACCGGTTAGTAGGGTGCCGTGCACAAGTCAGTTGGGACCCATTTTGCACGTGCGCACGTGCAGGGTGCCGCTTCCAGATCTCGAGAACGGCTGGGCCGATTGTGCCCAAATTTGGCACATCGCTAGAGACCAGTTAGTAGGGTGCCGTGCACAAGTCAGTTGGAGGTACCCCCTCGCAATTTCGCACGTGCAAGGCCCACCCTCTCGCTCGCTCCGTTAGTCGCCCCAAAAGGCGTTATACTGGTGTACTGTAGCAAGTAGCAACCGCACGTATTGCACTGCACGTCACGTTATGTTTGTGACTGTTCAATGTTATATCATATCAGCACGGCTGGGCTATGACATGACAATGGGTAGCGTATTGCCGATGACCGATTCGATGATGCTCGCTGGTCAACCATAACAGGTAGGTATTTATATGGCTTTTCAGGCTTCATGTCTCCGTATTGAGTAGAACGTGACCGTTTTGTGTCATTTATCGACTTCACGTGACGCCGCGTTCAACGTTCGAGCTCAGGTAGCAGCTGAGGTGATTGACCCCGCTCACCCCTCCCGCCGACACAGTGTAGCCCCTGCATGTACCGCCGGTCACCGCTAGGCGCGTTTACTTCCACCGGTCACCGCTAGATGCTGTGAACCGCTAGTTATAGTTTTTCTCATAGGTGTCGCTTTTACCAGTCTCTAAATTGCTAAAGCCTTTGATTAAGTTGTGCGCCCCCCTTTTTAACGTTCCGTTCGCTTAAACTGCTGTATTGTTTGGACAATTGTATTGGCAATGTGTATATTAAAAACCATATGTATTCGTTTATTACATTCGATGTTCTCGCCAA